CTGTGGACTTTCCCTCCGAAAAGCAGTCTAGAAATGGCGAACACAGAGGGTGCAGCACGTTCTGTATCGGTTTTACTCATTTTTTATTTATTTCACCCATTTATTTATTTATTTAATTTAGGCTGAAATGGCTCTCCATACCATGCGAGCAAAGACAGGAACAATGTTAGAGAAAATTAACAAATGAACACAGATTTAAATTATAACTAGCTGGTGTGTGTGCTCTGCATGATGATGTAATCAGTGTTGCAATCATAGAATTAGGCCGTTTCCAAACGTCCGCCCTAATCCCTAAACCCCTCCATTACTACATGGAGCAGGGACTTTATAGTGAATTCAGTTAACTGACCGTTCGGACAGATGATCACTACTTTTCACTCCTCTACGGTCACGTAACTCCGCCTCCCCGTACAGTGCCTGCGCCATCTTTGTTATTTGTTGCTGTCACAACAAATCCCATGATGCTTTGCGAGAAGAGCTCTAACAAAGCAATCTGGGATATATCTGCTTGTACAGTGACCATGGATGATCACTACTTTTCAAGGCGCGTTGTGGGAAATTTCAAGTCCACTAATTTTTCATCCAGTAGACATTCGGAAACTCATTTAAATTGGCGTAATCATTATATAGTGCTCTATATAGTGTTTATAGTGCCCTATAGTGATTAGGACGAACGCTCAGACACAGCCATCGCTCTAACTGAATTTTTGTCTATGATATCAATAAAAATAGAAATGACCGGACCGGAATGCTGGATAGGCGGCGTTCATCCAATATCCGATCCAGCCAATTATTCAATATTGGTGCTGATATCCGACCCAAGTCTCGGATCAGTGCATCTCTATGAAATCGTATAAAAAAAACAGGAGGCAGCTAATTCCTTAATATAACATTTCTCTAACACGAACGGATGAAAAGCGCATAAAATCATTTTAAAATTGGCTCTACGCCGCAGGGTATTTTTATGAGGCAAATAGAATAGAAGCCCGTAGCGTCACAGCGGGTGCACCAGTAAAAAACATTCAGTGGAAACTTAGAAGACTTTCCAGATCAATCAGAATGTTTTAAAAGCGATAAAACACCAAAACATGAGCTACAACTGGCTGCGTCAAACTGTCCGATGGTTGTGTGTCTGATCCACCAGTTGTGACATTAGTGACACTAAACTTGAAATTGCATCATAGAGAAAGTGATAATGGCTCCTAAACTAATATAAAGAATGTTGATTTTCACACTAAATTTTCATTCATTCAGTGTAAAATGTTTAACCTGCAGCAGCAAAAACTGAATAAAAACATCAAAACTCTTCGCAGTAACCCTCCATGTCCATCCTGTCATTCATAAAACTAAACCCAGTCGTTTTTTCATTATAGGTTACAATTTAAAAAAAGTTCTGATAACAAATCTACAAATTCATCCAAGTAGAAATAGGTAAATATAAAGGAAGTTTGACAATGGCCATTAAAAGTTTATTATTTCTGTGTATTTCTAAATGTTAGGAATCCAGTTTGTGTGGGTTGTGTTTTTTGGTGTCTTCTCTCCCTCCACCACCAGGTGGTGCCCTGTCCTTGTTGGTCCTCTCACACACCTGTGGCTGGTTGACTTATTACTGAGGAATATTTGAGCGGTGGACTGTCACTACCTCGGCGCCAGTCTTTGCCAGTTTTGGGTACTCTAGCCAAGCTGAGTTTTGCTGAGTCTAACTTGTCTTTGTTTTTCGCTGAGCCTAACCTATTTTTGTCTTTGCCATTTTTGGCAGGAAGCCTTCCTGCAAGCTGGATGTTTGGCCTTCTCCCCCTGGAAGGATTGTTTGAGTCTCACACTGAGCAGGGGATTAACCCACACAAGCTCCATTCAAGTCCTCCTGGATTCCCAAGTGACAGTCCGCTCAGTTGCTCCTCTGGGTCCAACTTAGTCTATACCTGTCCGCCCTCCAACCAGTATCAACCTCTGGGAAAAAAAAAAAACCCACACTGACTGGATTCTGGGAGGAAAGTTTTTCTCCACTAACGTGAGTCCCGTTTTCTCTGTCTCTCCAAGTCATCGTTCAAAGTTCCCACGGATCCTGAACTAACCACTTATACTTCCTTTCCCTCTTCCAGTTCCGGTTCACCAGCACACTGAGTTTTGTAAATCCAACCCCGCTGGTTTCATCAATAAACCTGTTCAAACTTTTACCCTGTTTCTCTGAGTGGTTTACTGCATGTGGGTCAGATCCCTTAAGAAAATCATGACACTAAATTCTATTCAGTTTATTTCTATAGAACCAATTCACAACACATGTCATCTCAAGGCACTTTACAGTTCACCTGATCATTCAGTCAGATTGATTTCTATCCAAAGAAAACCAGTTGATTGCATCTACTCATTGAATCTTCAGCAATCCCTCACACTAAGCATGCTTGTAGCGACAGTGGAGAGGAAAAACTTCCTTTGAACAGGAAGAAACAAAGAAGCGGCCATCTGAGGCCGACTGAGGTTCAAAGAGAACTTTTAAAGGGAAGTTTACCCAAATGTTAGTTAAAGCTGATATTTAAGCTTGAATTTATATTCAGTTGGTTTTGTTCTTATATTTAATAAGTTCTACTGAAGTTTTATTCCAAGCTGAAAAAACTTAAAAGTTAAAAAAAAATCCTCTAAAGACAAAACTGTTAGAATTAAATGCGGATGTTTGTAAACTTCAAGGGTCATTCCGACCTGTCTGGTTCTTAGAGGCTGGTACAAGCGATCGAACTGGGTGAAGATGGCCTTGCGGGCCCCGTCCCATTTTCCTGGCCCCATCAGTCGGTACTGGTAAGCAGTGACGGGTCCCCAGAAAACCCGCTTGAACAGCGGGAAGTCGGTGAAGAAGAGCCAGAGGAGACTGGGGCGCACTCCGATATCCTTTGCTAAGTCGTCCATGTACTCAACAAAGTCCACCTGCAGGGGCGTCAGCCTCGACACAACGTAGCTGAGGGGGGAAAAAATGTGAACTTTAAAACTAAAGAAACTAAAAGCTTTGCTCTCAGACATTAAGTTAAAAGAGGTTAAAAGTGATAAACAGTGTTCCTACTTTTTCTCAATATTCTTGGTGTCCTTCTCCACAGCCTTGATCATGGCCTGACAGGAGGGAAGCTTCTTATGTCCTGAAGGCCCAAAAACAGAAAGCCGACCTTAAACAACCACTTCTATCTGCTAGAAGAAGCTAATTTTTAAAACAAAAGATGTACTGCAGCAGTGTCTGTTTGATGGAGCCTCACCTTTGAAGACGCGAGAGACGAAGCGGGCTTGCATCTCAGCTTGTGGCATGATGGCTCCGTCAGAATGGATAAAGCCCACGATAGCCAGGGTGGGATGCTCAAGGACCGGGGGGATAACATGCTTGTACAGACCCACACGGTGCCCCGACTTGTACATTACGTCATTTGGCAGGTAGGGGAAATCATAGTTGTATCCTGTGGCGAACACAATCAAATCCACCTAGAAGAGGAAAGAAAACTTCAGTTGGGAGGTTTTTCCTTCAGGAGGCAACAGCGTCTGACACATCAGGTTTGTCCTCCAACATTTTCCGCAGTGCTGCCATCATTGAAGACCACAGTGGACCCACGGATCTCTTTCACGTTTGGCTTGACGAGGACCGACCCAGATAAAATCCTAAAGGGGAGGTCATCGTTGATCACTGGAATCTGGCTGAAGAGCCTTTAGAAACAAGAAGGAGGACATCAGATTTAAAATCCTTGAAATTAAAGCAAACAGGAAGCAGTTAAAGATGTTTTTACATCCACAAAGCTTCTGACATTTACAGAAGCACAATATGTCAGCGTTCTGCCCTCTCTTTAAGTTTGTTTTTATTTGTAGTTGTTTTTTTAGCAGTGTTTTGTTCTTGAGTTACTCTCTGTGGCCCATTTGTGTTTCCTTTCCCCTTCCTTCCTTCTAGCCCAGAGGTCACGGATTTGTGGACCGCGGCCCAGATCCAAACCACCTAATGGCTAATCCAGACCCAACCTGATTTAAAACATTTATAAATTACTGCATGATGTCTGACGACAGTGTCTAACTTTACTTGCGCCTCTTCTCCTGTTAATACGGTAAAGCCCCTCCGGAGCGTCCGGCTTTTGCTCAACTGCAACCATCATAAAAACTCTAAAACCTGCAGGACAGCGTCCCTCGAGAACCGACTTTGGGCTTTGGGGATGCCTGATCTAGAGGATTGACAGCGGTCTTTTTCAGACCTTTGTGGAGGTAGAAAAGATTGGCGGATAAGTATCTCATGATCAATCAAAAAAATAAATGAAGCAAATCTCAGCTGAGGGATCAATCGCTGCACGACTAATGAAGAACAATTTAGTTTCGCTAAAGAAAAAATACTGTAAAAGAAAATAAACAATCGGCCTCGCTATATTGAAGAGTCCTACCTGTGTTTGGGTTTGAGGCCATACACTGCATGATCGTACATGGCATTGAGCTTCTTCTCACCCAACCAGTTGAGCAAGCACATTGGCAGCACCTTGAACAAGACATGGACGAAGCGCGTGTTGAACCTGTCGACGGGTAAGCCGTCATCAGAAACCTGGCGGATGACCCAGGCACCACTGCGAGTGCTCAGGTACACCTGCAGGACGGATGCAAGACAACGAGGTTTATAGGGAGTCTGACAATGTGGCAACAGTTGGAAATAATCATCTTCCTAACCTGCTCTGCAACTCTGCTGCTCTCCACAGCAATGTCCCCTCCTGAGTTACCGATGCCGATGACCACCACTCTCTTCCCGTGCATATCCTCAGGTCCCTTGTAATCCCAGCTGTGGGAGTATTTCCCTTCAAACGTCTCAATTCCTGGAACATTTTGGAAAAAATAATCAAATGTATGAGAGATCCTTTTCAAATTGCCAAGTCCCTTTTTTGGTTTAATTTTGCAAATAACAATCTTTCTTTGCATTATTGCAATCGTCATTGTTACAGCCTTTAACTCTGATGTCATTTAAGGGGATTTTATGTCAAAGTACAGTAAAAAACAGAAAAAGCCTCCTAAAAAATCATTAAGTGAAGAAAAATGACAAATGGTTTTCAAAAACTATGACGTGCTTTTCCATTGGGTTTCATTGAGGAGATACTTTGTAGGGCAGGATTGTGCCAGCTCTTTTTGTTTGGTCTGAAATATTTTCTAATAATTTTGTAATGTAGCACAGGGTCAGTCAGGTTGAGCATCTGCGAGCATCAGCTTTCTGATATCTAGGACTTTTCCAGGGCTATTCTAACACATGAATATGTCTACATCAGGCGGGCCCAAAGTCCGTCCCTCGAGGGCCGCTGTCCAGCAGGTTTTAGAGCTTTCCCTGTTTCAGCACAGCTGATTGGGATGATTGCAGTTCAGCAAAAGCCTGTTAATTGTAGAGCAGGAAAGCTCTAAAACCTGCAGGACAGCGGCCCCCGAGGACGGACTTTAAATCTAAAGGACTCCATCATAGCTTTGGATATTTAGAGTTGATTTCCTGCTGGAAGGTGAACCCTCACTCCCTTCTTAAATCTTTTGCAGCCTCTCTAAATCCTTTTCTTCCAGGTTTTCCCTGCATGTTGTTCCAGTCATCTTTCTGTCAACTCTTACCAGCTTTCCCGTCCCTGCTAAAGTAAATCTCCTCTGAGGAATGATGCTGCCACTACCGTGCCTATGGAGTCAGAGAGGGGTCAAAATGTTTGTAAACTTATAAATATTAGTTAAACCTGAAAGAGTAAAAGTTGAAACAGATAAAATATATGTTGATGTTGAATGTCCAACTTTAAACTTATAAAAACTGAGAAACTAATAAAGCAAACATAAAATAATAAGAATTTAATCTAAATTCTTCCCCTCAGCTTGAAAAAACTCAGAATTCAGTTTAGTTTCTTAATTACACTTTTTCTTTTTTTATTTCTTTTTTATGCAGTTTTAGATTTCTTATTTTAAGATTCAAATCCCTTTCGATTTCATTTTCTATTTCCTTTTTTTTAGTTTCAAATTCCTTTTTCAGTTTCCGGATTTTTTTTAAACTTTCAAATCTGTTTTTTTCTCCTTCAGATTTTGACCCCAATCGGATGGTTACTTACTGTTGTGGGGAAGTTTTGCGGTTTATACAATTAATATATAAGATCTAAAACTGCAAGCTGAGGGTGTTAGGAATCCAGTTTGTGTGGTCTGTGTGTTTCCTTTTCTCCACCACCAGGAGGTGTGTCTCCTGCACACCTGTGGCTCATTGGATCATTAGCTGGAGGAGTATTTGAGCAGTGGGCTGTCACTACCTTGACGCCAGAGTGTTTGCCAGTTTTGGGTACTGTAGCCAAGCTGAGATTAGCAAAATCTAACCTAGCGTTGTTTCTCTGAGATTTATGTTCTTTTGTCTTTGTTACCCCAGCAGGAAGACTTCCTGTTTTACTGGATACCTGGACCTTCTCCCCCTGAAAGGAAATACCGAGTTCATACTGAGCAGGGGAAAACCTCCACATGATCTGTTCAAGGTCCAATCGGAAATCCGAGTGACAGTCCGCTCCATTACTCCTCCGGGTCCAACGCTTGTCTACCTGTCTGTCCTCCAACGTGTGCACTATTCTCTGGATTCCCCCACACAGACTGGAGTGAAGGGCTGACAAGGCCCCCCTCAAACGTGAGTCCCAATCCAGCATTATCTAACAACATCCAAGATTCCTACAGTCCCTGAACTGACCTCTGAACTTCCTTTCTCACTTCCGGTTCCGGTTCCACAGCTCAGAGTACCAGATCCAACACCTGTACGCTACCTCAATAAACCTGTTAACCTTTTCTCCATGTTCTCTGGGTGGTTTTTCTGCATGTGGATCAGATTCAGATGACAGAGGGGAAGAATTTAGATCCAATTCTTATATTTTTATGTTTGCTTTTTTAGTTTCTCAGATTATAAGATAAAAATTCGACATTCAATGTCAACTTATATTTTTTCTGTTTCTAGTTTTATTTTTTTCTGTTTCAACTAAGATGTATAAGTTTACCAACATTTTGACCCCTTTGTGACTCCATACATGCCTTACTGTGATGATGATATGCAAAGAAGAATTAACTCAAGCCTCTTTCTTAGATGAACCCTCTCCTTGACAGTCAGTCAGTTTGGATCATCAGCGCTCTAACTTCATTTTAAACTCTGTTTCTTACTCTTCGTGATGCTGTTTGTTTTACAAACCTCAGTCCTTCACAGAACAGCTCCTATAAACATAATTACATTATAAAGAGGCAATAAACAGATATTTTGTTTCTGTGGACATGCTGATTTAACACATATTCATATATTTCTTCTTTTAGATTTTTTTTTGAAAAAAAATCTAATTTTTGTTTCTTTCTCACATGTACTGCTTTGTGCTGGTGTTAACCTCTTAACATCCACCTCATTTTGGGAAATTCTTGCTTATTTAGCATACCCAAATGGAAAAGCAAATAACTGAGGAACTTTAAGCCCAAATTACATGTGTGATCCGTTATTTGACAGCTAATACCATCTAGTTTCTGAATATATATACATGAAAATCGGGTGAGTATAACGCAGCCCAAGCTGCATCAGTTCAAACTTGACTCAAAGTCGTTCTTTATTTTTGAAAATAATCAGTCTTTTTTGAACAGCAGTAATAAAGACATGCTTGCTGTGGCTGCTTTGTCATGTTTACATTTTGACATGTTGCTAGATCTGTGTTAATGGTGCTTTGGTGCTCGCTGTGTCCATAAAATGAACTAGGTGGCTGAATTGTGGAGAATCTAAGCTTTCAAACGATGTCTAACATGTCTATAGTGGTAAACATTTTACCAGTGGAATTTTCATGCATTCTGAGTTTTTATTTGTAAACACTTTAATACTAAAACTAAATTATAAACACTTGAAGAATGAAGTGTACAGTGCGGCATCCAGTATTTTAGCATGTATGTATTACCTGGGAAGTCTTTGAGAGGCAGGTTAGGGTAGTTGAAATGACCGGAGCAGCAGATAACTGCATCAAACACATGCCTCTCCTCTAATCCGTCTTTGTTCTCCGTCACCACCTCCCACTGACCGGTGCGAGGAAAGTCTGGTCTCTTTGTGACTTTCTTCACTGACGTCTGAGGTATAAAGAATGATCAAGGAAAGGTTACATTGTGTATTTTAAGAGGTCATAGAATGCAAATATCGAGTTTCCATTATCATAGATGAATAACGATAGTTCGTGGGTGGGTCAGTGGGTGAAATGGACGTACAGAGAAGCTCAAACCCCATCAACACCTCCTTTCTCTGCAAACCTCACAATTCTAAACTCCCACCATAAACCGGGTGAATCCAAATGAAGCACAGAGTTGATGTAAACTCGGGGATGTTGCCTTGTTTGGTTCTGGTCTGTACTTTTGTCACGCCCTGAAATTTACATACAGCTTTAGTGTCGACTGGGAAGCTAACTGGATCAGACCTCAGCAGAGAGAGCCATGAGCTGGCCGTCCTCAGCTGGAGGAGGGGGGGCTGGGGGCCAGTAAGGCAGGCGAGGGGAAGCAGGCTATCGTCACTGGGTCGGGTTCGGTCGCTCCGTCACCTGCTGGCTCCCTGCCCCCGTCTGGCTCGGGTTCCCGGAGCCCCGGAGCTGACGGCTCGGTTCTGCTGCACTGTAGTCGACCAAATTAAATTTCTCCTGGACATTTTCTTAGGTATGAAAAGTAGGACATGTCCAGGAAAAAGAGGCCGTCTGGTCCCCCTACCATATCAACAATTTGATGTTTCAGTGAGTGAGTGCTTGTTGCTATGATGCGTCTTTGCTCAGCAGCTTGGCTCGTTGTAAACCAACCAATCAGAGCACAGCTCATCTAAATACTCATGATCAAACCATAAAAGGAAGAAAACCTGTCGTTTTATTCTAGGGCTTTTAACCAGGCTGCATTTGGGCTCGTAGAACAGAAAATATGCCATTTTTAGCCCAACCAATTACCCCATTTACACTACCCTGGAAAAACCGTGCTGAGACCGGTCCGAGCTCAGTGACTGAGATAACTTATGGTGTGTAAATGGAAAGCAAACTGAACTGAACCGAGCTAGACACAACCAAACCGAGCTGACTGCAGACCAGGTCCAGACGTGGGCTCGGCTCGGGTTTTTCCCTGGCTCGGTTCTCTGAGAACAAGAGCGCATGAGCAGAACGCGTCATCTCCGTCTGGCTGCACATCGCGATTCACACTCCATTCCAGTAGTTGGCGGTAATGCCCCTCCGGAAACAGAAGAAGAACAGCTTCTTCTTCAACTATAAACAACAATTGAAATCTTCTCCACGCGACACTTTAAATAATGGCATTTTAAATAATAGCACCGAACTACAGCAATAATAATCAAGCATAACTTTCTGAATGTGATGG